AAGAGCGAGACTCTGTCTCAAAAAAAAAAAAAAAAAAAAGAAAAAAGAAATACCAAGTACCTAACTTTGTTACACCGGTGTACTGGGATGGTATCCTCATCTGTCTCACCTTTGGGTTCTCTATTATTGCCAGCAGAAAGCCAATGCTTTGAGAATTCAACTTTATTATGAAACAATGAGGAATTAACTCCCAATAAGCCACTTCTGACAAATAGATTGTTCTACCTTAGCTTCATCACAGCAAGTAAACTTTAGACAATATATTAAGCCTCTAAGCAGAAGGAAAACAACTGTTTCAGCATTTATCTCTTTGTAACAAGGAATAACTTAAGAAGTACCATCCTAGATCGGCAGCTTTACTCAAAAATGCATTTTATTTCTTTTTCAAAGAAAAAATAATTCCCTGAAGCATACTCCCAACACCTCTTTCACACACACACACTAACAAAGATAACCACCAAATGCATGCTTACTTCTTTCAAATGTAGCTTATGGTCAGTGCCCACTTCACTGGTAGAAACAGCAACAGAATACTTAGATGCTGTATCAACTTCTAGTAACAAGCTCTGAGTACCCTTAAAATGAGCATTTTCAATTTTTGCACAAGTAGGCTGCTCATATTCTTTCTTATCTGGGGTAGAGTTCAACTCATACTCATGTTTTTGCCTCAGCTCTTCATAGGCATCATCAGTGCTCAATCCTAAGGCTTTGTTGACTGTGTCTGTCAGAGATGCATCAGAATGGCGCGCATTTGCCAGTGTTTCTGATAACCAATTAAACAGCCTATGGATGTCAGCAACACCAGAGTTACAGGTATCCTGCTGCTGTCGCCTCAAGTCAGCATCATGTCCAAGTAAGCCAATAGGCTGTGGAGACGCTGAGAAAAAGAAAAGAAAAGTCACTGGTTGAAGTTAAGTTTAAAAGTCGGCATAAAATTTTTTTAAATCAAATATACCTAAAAAAAATTATCATAAAGCATTTATGGTCAGGAACTCAAACAATTTGCTTAGATTTTACAAATATTACCATCACTTACTTTATAAACATAATTGTAAAATTTTACACATAGGTCAAAATTCCTATTAAAGTTTAATTCTCATTATAATTTAAACATTCTATCATAGGAAAATAAGCTCATGCATCAGGTTTTAAATATGTGTAAGAATAACTCTACCATCAAAATATCAAAGTCAACCAGGTACTTACCAAGAGATTAAACATTTGTACTTGCTATTTTGCCAATTGTTAGGATTATATGCATATTACACTACGCTACTAAAAAAAATTACTTAAATTTGATTTCTATCTTTTCCATTCCTATATATTTTATCCTAAAAGCACTGGCTGGCATACTTAAAATCTACATCTTATCCTAAATGACAAGATTACTTAAATTCATAATGAAGCTAGGATATTATAGATATAAAAACATCCTGAAGAAATCTCCACCAAATTTACATCAAGCACAAAAAGCATTATGAGAGGAAACACGTTAAGACATGGTTTCATGCATGCACTATAAATGTGTATAATCTGTAACAACCAATATATTTTAAAACTTGCAAAGGGAGCAAACATTCAGAAAGTCACATGCTTTAACACTGGGGCAGGGTAGGGATTGGGTGAAGCCTGAGTTAAGATTTATAATTTAAAAGTATAATGTACCACAACAAAAATAAATGTCAGAAACAAAGGAGTGCATACTGTATGATTCTAATTATATAAACTTATAGAGCCAGCAAAACTAATCGATAAAGACAAAAAGCAGATCAGTGGTGGAGTGGGGTGTGCTACCTAACAAAGGAACACAAGACAACATATAAAAATGTTCTATATATTGAAGTGATTACACAGCTGTCAAAACTCAACAAACTGTGCACTTAAGTAGGTACACTGATATAAATTATACCTCAAAACAGTTTATATTAAAAGTTATAAGAGGTGGTGTGAATGGGTTAGGAGATTATCTCATAAAATGAATGGGTTCACCACCAAATCAAGATCAGAGTGTTTTAAAAGTTTGACTACAACCTTGAAATCTCTACCTTCAGAAACAAAGTATGCAAAATGACTTAAAAAGAAATAAGTGAGAAACACCTAGAAATGCAAGTCTGATAATCACTAGCTTTAGTTAACCTATATACCCTTCTTCCCCTGCCTCATTTCTCGTTTGGTGTACTATAATTAGTATGGCTTTCTCACCATTCTAATTATTGATGAAGCCTGAGTTTTACCCACAACTATGTTTTCACATACACAGAATTAGTCAGTTACCAACAAAACAACAAAAACAGTGCCAAAAAATAAGTATCTTATTTATTCAGTGTATATTATGTGCTCGGTGACAGGAAATACAGCAGTTTGTGAACAACGGTTCGGAGTCAGTCAGAACTGACTTCAGAATATGTGCCACTAGCTTCATAGCTTTTGGTAAAGTTACTTATCTGAGATGCTTTCTTCATCTGCAAAATTAGGATAATAATGCCTACCACTCAAGAACTATTAATAAATGAGTTCATATGCATAAAGCACCTAGCACACAGTAAACAAAACTTTCAAGACACATGTCAACAAGACAAGACAGTACGTGTTATCAAGTGCTAACAGGTTCAGCAAAGATTGCAAATCCAGCATAAGCTAAAGGAGGAGACCATTAAGGAGAACAGACAGAAAGCTGAGGAGAAATCTGAACTGCAAAGATACAAGGCTTGAAAGATATGGAAGTTACTTAAGGAAAAAAAAGACGGAAATGAAAGGCTGACCATGACATACTCTAGGCAAACAGAGATGACCCTTAACCGAGATCTGTGAGAGAAGAGTGGAAAACATGGCTGGACATGGCTGGTCTATAACAAAGCCTTAAAAGGCAAGTATGTAAGATGAGATTCGTAGCAAATTAGCAAAGCAATATTGAGACGAACATGATACTGAAATGGGTGCAGGAAAGTTTAAGTCAGGAAGGCCACCAAAAAGATAAAGAACACGGACAAGGAATAACAACACTGGAAGAAAGAGATACACAGGTCAACTGAAGAAAAAACCATGATAGTTACTGCAGAGAACAGTAAAGTCAAACAGAACTTTCTGCAATAATGAAAATGTTCTCTGTACTAATACAATGGTGTGGCTGTTGAAATGTATTTTTATTTCATTTTAATTTAAACTTAAATAACAACACATGGCTAGTGGCTACCATTTTGAATACTGTAAGAATAAAAGAAGTAAAAGGAGAACAGGCTAGGCATGTTGGCTCACGACTATAATCCCAGCACTTTGGGAGGCTGAGGCAGGCGAATCACTGAGGTCAGGAGTTCAAGACCAGCCTGGCCAATATCGCAAAACTCCATCTCTACTAAAAATACAAAAATTACCCAGGCATGGTGGCACATGCCTATAATTCCAGCTACTGGGGAGGCTCAGACAGGAGAATCATTTGAACCCATGAGGCAGAGGTTGCAGTGAGCCGAGACTGCTCCACTGCACTACACCCTGGGTGACGGAGTGAGATTGTCTCAAACAAAAAAAAGAGAGCAGGAAAGTAAAAAGTGAGGATACAAATACAGATTGCTAAGAGACCAAAAGTGTAAAAAGACGCTGATCTGACTAACCTAAACTACAACACACTGAATTTGAAGAGACAAGTGTAGTTGCTCAATAAAAAAACATAAGAATACTCAGTTCTGCCATAATCACTCAGAGGAGCAACAGCAGCACAAAAAGTGGATTGTTATGTCAGTTTTCCTTGAATGCAGAACTCCTTTTGTGCTTATGAACTAATAGTGTTAAGATGTTAAAAATCTAGATAAGTGTCTTGGCTGACTTGCAATATTGAAACAAACACTTAAAACAAGCGCTTTACATGTCTATCTTTCTCTGTCAACAAAAACAAAACAATGCAAAGGTAATTAAAAAGAACAACAAAAAAAAGAAAAACGAAAAGATATTCCTGGATTCTTGGGGAAGAATATGTATATGCATATTTTATTTTCAAATTCAGAAGGTTCCTTTTCATTAAGCAACAGCCTAAAAGATACCAATATTCTAATATTACACTTCTTCAACTATAAAAATAAAGGAATATAAAAGGAGAAGAACTCTGATTAGCATTATTATGTTAGCCTAAACCAAACAATTTAGAAAACTGATGTACCAGGGCAGGAGTTGGAAAGCGTTTCCTGTACCGGGCCAGATAGCAAATATTTTAGGCTTTGTGAGCCATAAACTCTCAATGCCAACTCTGCCATTACAGCATGAAAGCAGCTATATACACACAAATAAATGGGCATGGCTGTATTCCAATACAACTTTCTTTACAAAAATAGTGGACAGGCTGAATTTGGCCCTTCTACTATAGGAAAGAACAGAACTACTTTATTTTTGGTTGTTATAACAACAATCTGATATTTTACCTTCATATAGATGGCAGTTTTCAGATAAATGACTGGTTTTGGCGAGCTTTCCCATATTTTCAGGTAGATCCTCAAGCTTCCTCTTCAAGACAGTTTTGCTTCTCATATCTTCTGTGTCTGAGTCCCCACCCACATTCTTTTTCCTACACTGAATTAAATTAATCAATTCTTTGACTCTATCCTTATCATAATCCAAAGAATGAGATGACCTTTGCTTTCCAGATATAACTGTTTCACCCCTTGAGTTATTTCGTTTTCCAAATTTCATTTTTGTACCATTCATTTCTTCTTCTTGACCTTCATAATCTGAAAGTGGACTAAACTGTTGAAGTTTTCTGTTTTCTTCAAATAGTTCTTTTAATTTACAAATAGGTAACTGATATACTTCAGGCCGAAAAATATAGGCATGCAAACAGGTATCAATATGGGATTTATTTCTGGGAGCTGAGTATAAGAATTTTTTATCATCTAATCGTGAATCATATGGAAACATAATAAACTCTCGTTTACCTGAACCAAAACCTCGCTTAAAAAATTCACTTACATACTTTTCAACAGCAGAATGAAAATTTATAGTGCTTATATTTTTGAATTCCTTTCGACACTGAATCAAAGCAAACTGTAAAAACTGAGCTATTTTTAATACATCTGGCATGCTCTCATGCCTCTCCTGTGGTGCTGCATTGGTTGAACCTTTTTGTGCTGTAAATAAAACAAACAAAAAAAAGCAAACCATATTAGCAATCAAGAAACTAATCAAATACAGATCTAAATATTGCCAAAGAAGTGTAAAAAACATTTATACATTAATGTTGAACCAAACACGTATGTACCCTAATACATATATATAATATAGCAAATATATGAACAGCATGCTTCTCAAGTCCAGGATCCTAAAACAGCCCATAAGAAACTAAAACAAATGAAAGAGCAAGGAAGAATCACCCACTCATTGGAGATCTCATTTCCTTTTGCCCCTAGGAAATTCAAATAGTGGCAAGCAACATGTAAGAAGAAATAAAGAGACAAAACAAGATCTGAGGCTCCAAGCAAAACAGTCCTGCATTGTCATCCCTTCCTCTTATAAGTAGTAACTAATTTCACATGAACAGATAGATATTCAGATGCTGAGTAGCCACAATTGAGCAGCTCATCCTTAATCCAACAGTGAAATCCATTAGTGGAAACTTTATCTTAATACATAGTATTAAAAGTTCATTCTTAGAAAAGGTGAGTAACAAATCTTGTCTAACATCAGCACCAAAAATTTCTATTAATTTTGGATGGCCTAATATTTAACCTTGCACATAATGTTTAGAGTCACTAAAATTTGAATGCAAAATTTAACAAAGCTAAAAAATAATCATATAAAACTCTCTTAAGCTGGGCACAGTGGTTCATGCCTGTAATCAGAGCACCTTGGGAGGCTGAGGTAGTTGGATTACTTCAGGCCAGGAGTTCAAGAACAACGCGGACAACACAGTGAGACCGTGTTTCCACAGGGGGAAAAAAAAATGAACTTAGCTAGGTGTGCTGGCACATGCCTATATCCCAAGCTACCAGACAGGCTGAGGCAGGAGGATCACTTGAGCCTAGGAGGGAAGGCAAGACTGTATGTAGTGAGCCATGATCACACTGCTGACTAGGCAATAGAATGAGACCCTATATCTAAAATAAATAACCCTCATAACTAAGCTACAGTACTGTTAACAATTATAATCAAACTTTGTAAGAGCACTGATAAACACAAATTAATTTTCCATAGTTAAAAAAAAAATCGTCAGCCAGGCGCAGCGGCTCAACCTGCAATCCCAGCACATTGGGAGGCCGAGGAGGGTGGATCATCTGAGATCAGGAGTTCGAGACCAGCCTGGCCAACATGGTGAAACCCCATCTCTATTAAAAATATAAAAAATTATCTGGGGCCAGGCGCGGTGGCTCACGCCTGTAATCCCAGCACTTTGGGAGGCCGAGGCGGGTGGATCACGAGGTCAAGAGATCAAGACCATCCTGGTCAACATGGTGAAACCCCGTCTCTACTAAAACTACAAAAAATTAGCTGGGCATGGTGGCGCGTGCCTGTAATCCCAGCTACTCAGGAGGCTGAGGCAAGGGAATCGCCTGAACCTAGGAGGAGGAGGTTGCAGGGAGCTGAGATCAGACCACTGCACTCCAGCCTAGGCAACAAGAGCAAAACTCTGTCTCAAAAAAAAAAATTGTCATATCATTTGTGTTTTATATTGCTACTACCTCTTACACCCCCCAGTATTTCCTGAAACATAATATAAGAAAGACAAAATGTTTAGTGAGTTATCTGGAAAATTTCAACAAAATGTTAAGTTAAGTGTCTATAAGCAACTAGATTTAGATATTCATAGAACTTACAAGTAACTATGCTTCTAGGTTCTTGAAATAGAAACAAAGCATGTAGGACTCGCGACTTGGCAGTCTGATATTCTAAAAAACAGAAGCCAAAGTCATTAGCAATGTGTCTTAACTAAAAAGTTAAGAAAGAATTGTAAAAATTAAAGAGAGACCACCTACCATATGGAGAAACCATCTGACAAGGAGAGAGAAGAAAAAGGTATCCTCGGTCTCCCAAAGGTTTAACAAGAACCTGCATTTTGAGGGGAAGGAAGAAGTTGTATCTGCTTTATTATTACTTACCACAAGGCAGACACAGGGCATTTTCTACCAATCGTGAAAAAAAAAAGTTCTTAACCATCTTTTAAGGAAAAATATTGCTAATGAATTAGTTAACTCTTTCTACCAAGTCTGCTGATTAATAGGATTCCAATCAAATGAAAATTCCTTGGTTTTCATAACATTAATGTGAAAATGTTACCGAAAGAGCTCCCCTAACTGCAAAACCACCATGTTAATTTTTCCCTCAAGCTAAAATACACGGACCAAACTAAAGACTTCAAATATTTTCTTCACCAATTCAAAAGACATGTTTATTAATGGCCAAAGAAATGTGCTAGATGCTAGATATAAAACAGGCTTTGAAACGCTGCATTGCAAGAGTTCAGACTAACTGCAAACCCAATGTGTTGCTGTAATCTAATTCCAAACATATTATATGAAAGAACACTTTTCACATGTAAGGCAATTTGCCCAGAGATAACCAAAAACAAGCAACACAAGATCCCTGATCATAAGAAGTTTATAATTAGGTAGAGAGGGTAACACAAGAAATATCTATAATTACATAGGACAGAAAAGTTCCCTAAGAGATTTACAAAATAATGGGAATGGAAAAATACAGTTTACGGTAGTAAAAGATCATCAAGAAAGGTTTACTGAAAGTGTATCAAAAGTGGATTTTGAAGGATGGGTACAATGACAAGAGCCTGAGATTGTGGGAAGGACATTTCAGTAGAGGCAATATCATGAGCAAAGGTGAGTTATGATGGACAGTTTACAAACATCACACTATTTATCACTGGCAGCAGGATGAAGACAGACTAGGATAAATGTATTAGACAAATCTGGAATGAAAGATCATGGGTTAACTGTAAACAGACCAGAAGCCAGGTTAGCCAGGAATGTCCTTTAGAGTATACCCCTTTGAGCTAGTCTTTCCTTAGAACAACAGTAACAAAAAAGACTTGACAGCACTGTGCAGGAGGCGGAAAAACAATCCAAGGCAAAGAATTTTTTTTTTTTTTTTTTTGAGACGGAGTTTTGCTCTT